AACAGATTTTTGAAAAGTAGTGCCAAACATGGACTGCTTTTGCCAGATACAGAGTCGCCACCTAAATATTTTTAAAATGGGAAAATTTAGGAAACCCTGACTCGGTGCTGAAGGCCACATGCTTGTCATCACCGGAGTTGTTCTCGGCTCGGGAGCTTGGGTACATCGGGGAAGGTTAGCTATGAGCACCCCCTTTCGTCCGGTCCGAAGACCGGCCTCTACTAACCATGATATCCGATTTTGAAAACGTTATGTGTTCTTATTCCCATTTATTTAGCCTAGAATTACTATGTTATGCGCGCAGCAAACAAGTATTAGACTAGATGCCTAATTTGGAAAGGAAAACATTGCATATCCGTTTGTTTTGAAATGCTTTGGAATTTGCTACTCGCAAGTAGGCATACAACGGATTTCAATGAGTTTTTCCAACTCAAACAATCCAACCTCCACCCACAGGCATTCAAAACAGTTTATCTCATATAAGCACTTTTGCCGCATGGCAGGCTACTGTCATGGCAACACTCACCACACATGCGGGATGCTAAAGCATAAATACTTACATCGTACTCTGTGCCAAAATAGTAAAATAGTCAGCAAAACATGCATGTCCTAGTTCATGTTAAAAATGGCTAATGCATCACATGCAAAAATGCAACCTAGGCAGGCTCGGCTAACCCAAACATGGCATGTGAAATGCCGATCAACTACCACATATTCAATTTGTGAATTGAAGTACATATGCAGTTAGCGTGATGTACCGAGCCTAATGTATGTAATACAAATGTATGGATGCACGCATGCATAGCATAAGGTATGCTAATTTGAAGATGCCCTAATCTACCATCATAAGCAGGTAAATAAAAGGGAAGAAAGAAGTGGGGTTGGAAGACATACACACCACCCACGCACACTTATTACAGATTTGCCCTCACTCGGAGGGACCAAATAAAATATTACAAATTAATTAACTACGCAGCTAATTAAATATTACAAATTGCCTAATCAACTAAGCAAATTAACTAAAATTAGGAAAGCAGGAAAATCGCCTCGGGAAACGCGCCGCCATGCATAGGCTGCCTCTGTTTTCCCTTCTTTCACTCCTCTGGAGGTTGCCAAAACCTCAGGACTGCTTCTTTGGATGCTGGGAGACATCACCGCCGCATGGAATTGCCACCGGCAGTGTGGGTTGGCCACCGGCACAAAACAAAGCTATCGGCAGGGAAATGATTGCCGGTCGGCACCTTACACTGCCGGTCGGCAGAGTGTTCCTGCAGAATCGCAATGACAGCAACAGAGGGCAAGGCAAAGCATGGGCAGCACAATCCAAGACATATATGCACCAACCATCCCTTATCATGATAATGACTCAAAGGGGCATTGTGCCTCGATTCTCGGACCACCAATCACCGCAATTTCCATGCAGATGGCCCAAAGAACCAAGTATGCAACTTTCATGTCAAATGAAATGCAAACCAAAATACAAAACTAAGGCCCAATTCCTATCATCAAGTCAAGAAACAAGGCATGCATGCAAGATGCATGCAACCTAAGCATGCAAGCCTAAGGAGCACATGGCATGGCGATACACTTATGCAAGCATGCAAGCAAATACGAGGCAATGCTAGCCAATGAAAAGGTGGTCTAAAGCATGATTTAGGCAGCTCCAATAAGGCCTAAAACAAGGGCCAAAAGTGCTATAATGAGGACCAAATAACACATGCACACATACACATGTTGAAAGGGCCAACACTTAGGCATAAATTGAACAAACTCTCAAACACATTTGAAAGGAGGAATCATGGAACTAATTAGCATGCAACATAAGCAATTGAAATCATGCTAAAACAATGGTGCCAAACCAAGCCAATAAATCAAGCCAAGCATGCAACAAATGGCCCAAATGTCTCTTCAAAGCAAACCAATAGAGTATTGAACTACAATTAGCAAGACCAAACATGGCATGAACTCATTGACCAAAAACAGAGTTTTGGGACATTAATACAAGGCCTAAGGACCACTTAGATGGCATCCAAATGACTCAAAAACAAAGGCATGCATAAACACCAAAATATGGAGCATTGCTACACAAGCTTCTGAGGCATTAAAGATGCATCCAAGGTAAACATATAGGCATGCAAATGGGACTGAAATAACATATAAGGTGACCCCAAATCACCAAATCAATGCAAAGATGTCATGCTATACATTCATATGCTCAAGGCCAACAAGCCCAAATACAAAGGAGCTATACCAAGCATGCCAAAATCAACCCAAACACTTATGGACAGACCTAAAACATGTCAAGATAAGCACAAAATCTTCACAAATGTAAGCCTAAAACATGCTAGAAACAAACGCACACAACCTAAGACATGTTAAGGCATAACAAGGCATTACATGGAAACTATGCTAAGCATGCATGGAGTACCAAAACCAACTTAAAGTCATGTTATATTATGGATATATAAGCATGAAAAACAACCTAAACATGCTCAACACACACTCAAGCATAATGCTCTCTCAAGAGGCCAAAACATGCCCTTTTCAAGGACAACAAGGAGAGGGGGTGGCCCTCTCCTTCTTGGGACTTCAAGGCATCACCTTCACCACTGAAATCCCTCAAGATTTCAGTGGTGAAGAGACCCCAACACCAAAAGCCCGGAGCTAGCACAAAATGGCTCACTGAAATCCCTCAAGATTTCAGTAGTGAAGAGACCCCAACACCAAAATCCCGGAGTTCACACAAAAGGGCACAAAATGAGGCCTTTCAAGGCCTAAGGGTATTCAAATTTACCCAAACCACAAAACACTCTTAACAAACAACCAAGAGGGCTTAAAAATAGAACTTTTTTGTAGTATACACTAAGCTCAAAAACGAATTTACGATAGGTAGAAATACAATGCAAAAATGGGGTAAAAAGGGGTGAGATTCTTACCCTTGAAGCTTTCTTCAACAATGATGCTCCAATGGCCTTCCTTAGCTTGAATACAACACCAAAAATTCAAAATCAGTCCCTTAGAACCTCAGCTCCAAGAGGAAGGTGAAACACTAGGTGCTTGTGTGCAATAGTATGGACTAAAACACACACAAGAGTAATATAGAGATAGGATGAAAGAGAGATAGGAAGTGTATGCAACTCAAACCCTAAAACTAGAGCTTAACAATGGCTGTCTAAGCTCTCAAAATATCCTAAGTCTCCAACCTCTCAAGCCAAGAGACAAACCTCTCCCTTTATGGCACTTCTTGTCTTGTAAAGCTTACAAGACAAGCTTCATAAGAGGGAGATCCCTCCATACACGTGTATGAAGGGGAGCAAAAGCAATACAGCTGTCTTAAAATATCTGCAAAAGCAGATGCACAGTAATCGGCCGGCCAAAAATGCCATGTTGGCCAAAAAGAGTGCCGGCCGGCACTAAAAAGTGCCGACCAGCAAAAAACTATGCCGACTGGCAAACTACAGTGCCGGTGGAGGCAAAAACCAGCCGGTGGCCTCTAGCCACTGCCGGTGGTGGGTGGGGATGGTCTACAGGCCCTATCCTGCCTCTCCAAGGCAAAACACAAGTGTTCGGTGACACTAAACGGTCGGGTTCGGAGGTCCTGAGACAAGGAGCGTAGCCGAGACTTCCGGGAACTCCAAACGAACACAAACATGGATAATCACCGAGTGTTCAAACGGTGACGTCCAAGTCTTGAGGACGGTCAAAAATGGGGTGTCTACAACAACTCAATTCCACTTTATCATTCTTCAACTTTTGTACTACCTCAAGAGTCCTCCAATGCGGGCTAATGTTATCGAGTGGTATTGGACGACCTTGCCGGATGTAATCCGCAATCTCATGGGCACACGGTAACCCGTGTGTTCGTCGAACAACACATCCACATACTGAAGTATCAATGCCAACATCATTCGCTCGCTTACTCTCCGCTAAGACATGATCTAATGTAGTAATAGAGATATTGCCTTGGAGCTCTCTAAAATGGGATGGTTTGAACTGGTGTTGTATAACGGTTAAACTCTTCTCAAACAATGCCTTAATATCAACATGCTACAACTCAAGCAAACTGTGGATCTTGGTCCAAGAATACTCAAAATTTACTTGGTTAGAACCAAGTTGCCATTTCATTTTTGCATGTGCACTTTTAGCCCTGTGTACAATGGAAACAATTAACATAATTAAGTTTAAATAATCAAAATCATAATGCCTAATAGTGTAAGGTAGACAAATATATATTACCTGTTGGTTGTAACATTCCTGAAGTGTATACAACTATCTATCCATACGACAACAAACTTATCCTTATATGGAATTAACCAACTTTGTGACACATATTGTACTGCCTCAGGATATGTATCAAAATCCGCAAGTAGTCTAGCAAGGTGTTCATTGCATTCAAGCTCAATTGAGGAGAGTACTAAGAAATTCTATAAAGAGATAAACTTGTCTCATTCCTCCTTACTCTCAAACATTTTCTTGCATTTCACCAGTACATTTCTACTAATATGCCATCGGCATAATAAATGTCGAGATGTAGAAAATACCTTGTCAATAGCATTCATCAAAGCAAGCTCCTTGTCCGTGACAATCACCTCAGGAATAGCAATGCCATCCAAGAGACTACACAATGTACCTAACACCCAAACATAGTTATCAATCCGCTCAAATTGGAGATATGCAAAGGCTACGGATTATCACATATCAGTGGATGTCACACCAACTATCTCAAGAAGAGGAAGACGATATCGATTTGTCTTATGTGTGCAGTCCATGATCAACACCTTTGGAAATGAACGGAGCAAATCTAAACTGACAGGATGTGTCCAAAACAAGTCTGTGACAGTCATCGTGTTGTTGTCACACCTATGCCGCTCAATGTAATTATGCTTTTCTAACTCACCCAACAAATGTTGCATTTGTGATCTCCTAGCTTTCTCAATAACATTATTCCTATGACGTACATTGTAAATGGTTTTCATAGTGGTTACATTCAAAGCATCCTTTCATTTTAATGTAACCAAAATCTCTTTTGGTCTGACCATGCTTTTGGACATATCCACTAGTAATGATGTTTCCTCCTCAGATAATCTCCCTGCAAATGAATGTTCTTCAAAATGTTTAGCAGGAGCATGGTTATGCATTCCACATGCTACATCTACCATCCAATCATCATCATCCATCAACTTACAAGCCCTCAACTCAAAGGGACACCCGCATTTCTTTGTACCCGTTATCTTCACAATTTTTTTGTTTGAATCATCTCCTTTTAATTTCTTATGAGCTCTGTATTGACCACTTCTCTCACAGGCAAGATATATCCTTGGTGTCCTATGACCACCTCCATAGTCCGATGTCTTGATGACAACCACAAACCCATTTTTCCTTCCAACGTCCCGTACCCAACCGAGCAATTCTTCTTTGCTCTTGAAAATCTACAAGTCAAATTCAACAAAGTCATTAAACATCCGAAAAGAAAAAGAAAAAAAAAATACTAATTTTCGACATGAGACTACCTCATTAGTAATAAATTGACTCGTATAGTCAACAAGACCCCCAGATCCAACATTACTGCATTCCACGGATGCACAATTCTGGAAAAAAAAAAATTTATAACTGTTCGGCAGTACAGAGTCGAATTAAATGAAATTGTTTGATTTTTTTAACCGAATATATGAATATTGTTTGACTCTTATCAACCGATTATTTTGAAAATGTTCGACCATAGTAATCCGAACAAATGCAATTTGTTCGGTTGTAGTTAGTCGAACAAATGCAACTTGTTCGATTGTAGTTAGTCGAACAAATATAAATTGTTCGGTTGTAGTATGTTGAACAATGATATATTATCCACCTCTGGTTAACCGAACTATACCAACGATTTACCACTCAGCAAGTAAAAAAAACGAAAACCAAAACAACAAAAAATAACCTTTTCCTTGCTCCATTATTCCGAATCAGAATTGTCAGATGCATTCTTCATTGAATCCAATCAAAATCTTCAATAATACTATATTTTTGATTATTTGTTGGAGGGTTTTTGGTTTTGGTTTTAGGGTTTTTGGATTCTTGACAGAGAAGATACATAAGGAATAAGTTTGAAATTGATGATTTATATTATATTCATTCTTGTCCTTTATGGTAAATACACAAATGGCGTGTATCATAACTTGTCCTCTATACTCATTTCACTTAAGGTTAAAATTGTAATAAAAAAAAAATTAATTAATGGTTTTCCTTGAGAGGGAAGGTGGTGTGTAAATGGAGATTTAACTCCTCGCATTTACTAATATAGGAAAATTTTACTTACGCAACACTTTTAGCTTATTGCACCATTTATTTTGATTTTCTTTTATTGCGTAAATTACACCATTGGTCAAGAAATTATTCAATACTCTTTGAACAATACTCCATTCCATTTACAGATTGACACCAAACACTTTGTCTCCTAAAATTCCAGCATAAAAGTGGTAGATCTCATGATTTAGACCAATAGCAACTCATTTGGAGCACCACCTAGTCTTACTTCAGAAGCATTGAATAATTTCTCACCATTGGTCCCTCTAGTTTGAGCAAAATTTCACTTTGGTACTTGTAATTTCAATTTGAATAATTTGATCCTTACACTTTCAATTTTGTTGCAATGTAATCCCTCCATCATGCGTTGTTATCATTTTGAATGAAAAAAATCACATACAAAACTAGAAAGACTAAAGTGGAATTCAAAACATAATATAAGAACCACCAATTACACCGGTGGTCCTTATAATTTATTTTAAATTTCACTTTGGTCCCTCTAGTCTTACACATGATTTTTTTTCTCTCCAAATTCTATCGGTAAGTGACGGGGAACCACATTGCAACAAAATTGAAAGTGTAAGGACCAAATTATTCAAATTAAAACTATGGAAACTAAAATGATGACACTTCACTTAAACTATAGGGACTAATGGAGTGACTCTATTTGCACCCCAAATATAAGGTTGGGCATCCGAACTTAATGAAACTTTTTATTACTATTATGTCCATATTTAAAATGAACAAAAAGTACTTGATATTGAAAAAAATGCAAACCAAATTGTTTTTGACACTCCATTCATAATCAATCTCAATATTCCCTTCTTTTTGTCTTTTTATTCTCTTCACTTTGCATCTTCATACTCAACCCTATTTTGCTTGAATCCATCATTCTTGCATTCTATTTCATATTAATGAAGAAGATGTTTCCAAGCGGTTTTTATAGAGAATGTAGGTTTTCTATTTATGTTCATTGTTTTCGACTGTTGGGTTTACGAAATTTGTTCAGAAATTTAGTACCAAACAAATTACATTTATTTGGAAACTTGTTTCTAAAATTCAAATATTCGGAAGTGTGTATCCAGACGGAAAAGCTGGAATCAATTTTCTTTTGTTCGTAACTGAGTATCAGAACATATTTCATTTGTTTAGCACTAAACATCTGAAGCAATTCATAATGAATTAAGTATTTAGACTTATTTAATTTATTCAGCAACGAATATCTGAATGGAAAAGCTAGAACTAATTTTCTGTACTCTGTACACTGCACACACTGTAGTCTGCTTTACACTTGCTGTATACTGTACACCCGGCACACACATACATTCTGCTTTACACTGACTGTACACTGCTCACACTGTACACTGCACACAATACACTGCACAACACACGGCTCTGCCATTTCTGCTTTATTCTGCATTCTATTTTTTCTGATAAATGCACTGGTATTTACCTTGCAGCTGTGGGTTTATGCCTACTTCCCTAGGCTTGCTTCTGTGCCACTTGCGGAGACTCCTCTGGCCGTCCCGTTTTCAAGTCGCTTCGACGGGAGATGCACCCGGCGACCACGGGAGACATTCAACTTCTTCCGCCGATACTTCGATACCATTACCCCTGCCGAGGTATGTTTTACTTACGGTTCATTTAAGCTTCGCTTTTCCACTGTATATTTCCAAAACAGTAGATAACAAACTGTTTGTCACTTTCAGATCACATGGCGGCCGTGGGCTCCCTTGCCGGCGGCGATGCGGGATCGGTTCGCTGGTGCGGAGGAGACCTCGCGTTTTTGGATCTTTCTTGAGGGCCCGGTCTGTCGGGCTTGGTACCTGGGGGAGCGTTTCCTACGCCAGACCCTGGGGTTACTTGAGCAGATAGTCCCGGTTCACCCTCCTGCGGATATGAGGGAGACCGAGAGGCTCACCAGCGAGCAGATGGATGACTACACCATTGGCTGGGAGGAGGTCGGCTTCAGAGGTACTGGAGACAATCAGGAGTACGTGCGGACGTACCTGATGCGACCTTTGAGCGGCC